CCCCCCCCCTTTTTTTTCTGCCGCTGACCTGTTTCCACGACTAAACCGTAGGTGTGTGCTAGTCGGCAGACCGTAGTTGACGACTCTCCTGTAGGGAAAGGGGCCTCCTCTACATGCCCGTGCCACCCCTAGGGCCTCTTCCACCCCCCACAACCCAAGACCGCATTGCATATTGTTGAATAAATGCAAGTTCGTATTCAGGTTTGTATTCAAGTTTGTGTTTAACCTGGTGCCCACAGCTCCTCATGCAAGTTTAAATCTGCATAGCGTCGCAGTGTCACCACCTCGCACACAGCCAATACAATGCTAGCCTTTTTTTAATAGTTTCCAGCTTTGCATAAAGCGTTACGCTAACTTACGGTTTGGAGCTTTATGGTGGTAGCCACAGTATCTCCCAGAATGCCATCCCCCGTTAACCACCTTGCGTAGTCCTCAGCTCTACCTTAAAGTGCTGATACGTCGGGCACAGTACTCAGCTCTATCTAGGAGCCCTTCTTGGCGATATAAGCCGTAGATATGTCCACCTTGCAGTTGCCTTGTCGACTCGTTTGGAACTCTCATATAAGTTGATGATTCATCTGGCGCTGTACTCAGCCTCATCCCACTTTTTGCTACTGAGAAATCTACCGTGAACGCCATGGTAGAAAGCAAGAATGATTTCCACGTGGTTGGGAAACCAATCTAAAGGTTCTGGAAGTTTAGAAAGCTGCGTGTCGTGCAACTCCTAAATAGCTTCAAAAACAGCTTCCGTCAAACTATTTAGAGGCACCTTGTCTAGTGGATTGAATGACCAACGTAATGCGGCATAAGACCAAGGCACATTTATACTATGCTGTTTAGCCGTGACTGCTCCGGCTGCCTCCTCGACCGCCACCCCGGCTGCAACTCCAACTGTCGCCCTGACTGCCACTCTAGCTGCCACTTCGATTGCCACTGATTAACATTGACGACCCGAAACAGATTTACAATGTCGACCTCTTGGATGAGGGACCCCCATTGTCGATCAGTGCGGGTCTCCTCCCCATCTAAGCTCTAAAGCTTAACTACGTTAGCTGTTAGAATTAGGATAGATAATCATTACTTCTGTGGACATTTCAGCGTTTCTCAAATGTAACAAAAAGACACTAGCTTTTACATAGAGTAAACTATTATACGTACTCGCTTTGGCGTGATAACAGGACACATAGTTAGAGATTTGACCCTGACATTGAACTACGCAACTCGTATAAATCTGAAGGACTATGTAGTAGAGTTCGCAACCGCCTCCTTGGCCTTGATATCCGCCAAGATATTCACCCAGTCTAGAGCGGCATGAGTTTCAAAATCAGCACTCCTCAGAGGCGCCCAGCCTAGTGCACGGATCTTGTCGCCTGAAGAACGAGAGCTAGAGGTAAAGTTATTAGGGAAATTCTGCGGTCTTCTACTCGAAATACAAGTGGCTTTGGTAGGGAACTTACTTGGAAGCCCAGCCGATCTCGGCCAGGAGATTTCTGCCGCCGGTTAGTATTCTAGTGGCTTCCTCCAGGGACAGTTGCTTAATCTCGGTGGTCTTGAGAGCGCCAGCTTCCACGCCAGCCTTTGCAACCATTTGAGAAAGCTCAAGCCATGTATGATGGCCATCTTGCAGAAAATAGACCCCATCTTTGCCGTGGGGAATGTCTGCACCTGCACCGCTCAAGATCTTCGAGAGAACGACCTTGTAAGCGCGCGCCATGTCCAAGACGTGAAGGTTATCCCAGCGTCCAGCACCATCACCAACAACAGGAGTGTTGCCCAGGAGGATTGACTTGCGGATCAGGATAGGCGTGTGGCAGAACTCATGGAGCGGATCTGTGCCAATGCCGTAAAGAGAGGGAGACATCAGGATGTACGTCTTGACGCCATACTCGACGCCGACCTCAGTAACAACAATATCGCTGGTACGCTGGGCGTATGGGACGGCAGAGTCTCTGCTCTTCAGGTAAGAGAATATGTCATCTTTGTCGGACAAAGGGTAGTTTAATTCAGAGAATGTCTTGGAAATAGGTCGATCGGCAATGTTGGACGTGCCAGAAGTCTTTTGGGCGAGTGAGCAGTTGATCTGCGGTAGAATGCGACTGAGAAACTTACGTGGATGTAGTAGACGTCGTTGCCGGTCTGTTTCTTTCTCTGCGCAAGACCTAATATCAAGGCTCGTGCAGAGAGGGTGTGGAAGCCCGAAGCACAGTGGATGACAACTACGAGACGTCAGCAATCGAACTTGAATATTCAATGTCAATGCCTTCTTACCATCGTGTTGGCTGGCGAGTTCAGCCAAGACATCAGTATCGTCCAAGTTGTTGAATATCATAGGCTCGAGACCTTTAGCCCTCACGGATGCGGCACCACTCGCTCTTGTCAGGGCAGAGACGTTGGATTTATTCACCGTGATGATGTCATCGGTGAGAAGAGAATCTAGAACTGCTCCTCCACTGTACACGAGGACAAATTAGCATGGAGATATAGCAGTTGACATGTGTTGAGAGGATAGAGGATGGATAACGAACATGTAACCGTTTGCGCCTGTTAAAAGAATCCTTAGACTCGACATTTTATAGGGTGAAAGAATAAGCTGTTATTGTTTGTATTTTTGTAGAGATTAAGTACTGGGAATTGTACTAAGATTGTTGGTAAATTATATTTGTTCTGTGCGTACGTTAATACATATATATATCCTTTCTTATGCCTTTCACATTGTGCTGTTTAACGTAGTGGCTACGATTAGGTCATAAGATGAGTTCAGCATCTGGCGATGTATGGGCCTCGGAACCAACGGCAGTGAGGGTACTTTCATTGGCGCTTTGGCTAGAACTACAACATACGAACTGGTCACGGCTCGGCTGGCACGTACTGTACAATCAGGCCAATATGTCTGTTGCTTTGTAATAGAGCTATTTAGCATCTGCATAACACTATGGTCCGAGTCGTTGGCTGTCTCGTCTTCAACATTCTCGCGCCACATACCCGGTCATGGCTGGTTGATTATATATGGTAGACAGACATGGCAGTTTTTTGCGACCCCTGTTTGAGAATACGCCAATAGGAGTGAGGCTCTGTAAGCCGCCACTTTTAAGCGCATTGGGTAATCAACGAATGAGATAAAAGGCGCTTGACCGCAGAACTTTCCAGATCGGGCCTAAAGCGACGATTCATAGCGCTAAGGCGGGCTCAAACCTCAATTACCACTTTGCTTGTCTGCTCACTTAGTCGCAGAACTTTCCACATGGCCAAACTTCATTACTAATCTATGCTTTAGAATGAGATAGGAATGGAGATGACAAATATCAGACACTAAAATTCCGATTACTGCGTTTGACGAAATATGACAACGTGCTGTGTTCAGCAGGCTGAAGAGTTGGGATAGGCAAGAGACATTTGATATATAATATAACCTAATTCTCAATCTTTTTCACAGGAAAACTCTATATTCAATCACCACTAAGACCCTCTCTCATTTTCATCATCAGATCCACCGATACTCACCATGACCCAACCCATCACCGAAGTCGTCCAGCTCAAGCTCCAGCCTGGGGCCGTGATCGAGGAACTCATGTCCGACTTCCTACGCATATTGCAGCGCCAACCTGGATTCCAGCACCTCGCATGGGGGAGATGGGAAGAGTCTCTGGACAACGTGCAGCTACTCTTGAGTATGTCCTAATTTCTCATCGTGTTCTATTAGCAGGTCCACCACCTCGAATGGCCGCGTGACTGACAAATAGTCCAGATTGGGATACTATCGAGGCTCACAGACAGTTCGAGGCGTCGGGGGCAGACTTTGCCGCCGTCGGTGAGGTTCTGGGGCCTATACTTGCCAAGCCGCCTGCGATGCACCACGTTAATTTCAAGCCTGCTATTGCCGACATCGTCTCGAGCGCCGCGACTGTCTAGGATGAGACACTGCAGAATTTCGGGCAATGTTCAATGTGCATACATGGGATCGCAAAGGTATCTGGGTGATTCCTAGCGAATGGAGGAGCTTGATGGGAGGGTTAAATAGCAATGATTTTACATCGCTGCGATTATACTATACAGTAGATAGATATATTCACAACGTCGGTGCCTCCCTAGTGGCCATCATAACCGGAGTTGGACATAATGTTATGGCGACGAAGGTCATATTGTTCTAGCCGACCACAATCTTTCGTGCTGAGGTTCATGAGGTAGTTGATATTGGCCTGGATGTAGTTGGGATTGAGCGCGAAGGCGTCTCAGAATTCCGCCAGGAGATTGGAGGGTCCTGTCGACTGCGCCGGTGGCGGGGATTAGAGGGGCTGTAAGAGCTAAGCTATCAACAAGCAGGGTGTCCCATGACCGAACAGTTCGCAAGTCAGTACTAGCCTCTGTTGAATGAAAAGCTGTAATATGTGTCCTCTTATCCGTCGGCCCAGGTTATTACCAGGAAAGGATGGCTTTGCACGAAAGACCAGAAGCTAGCAGAGGCGGTCTATGAAGTAGACGTACTAGCCAGCCTTGACCTCGATGGTTCGAGACTATTCATCCGAAGCATGAAGTCTGGTCGATATGAATGATGTAGGTTGGAGAGAAATTGCGACTCCATGCTTTGTCTTGAATCATCACGACGCTAAATTCAAAGGTGAGCAGTGTGCAGAATACCTCTGCAAAGGTGTAGATGTAAAATTCGCGCCAGTGTTAAAACGGTTTGAGTAGGGACTATTATTAAATACCGAGTTGATTTGTTGGCCATACCAGGTGGCACTATACAACCACTGACTCCAAAGCAAGTTCTAATCCAAGAGAACTCGTTCCAAGCCATAACCTCCTACGTCTACTGCGCCGCCCACACTAGGTTCAACCTCCCACCACTAACCAAATACTCCCTCAACCTTGTCCCACACCCCTCAGCGGTCGTCGCCTCAACTAAGATGTTCCCTTGCTGCTCGTGAATAAACTCGGCCTTCACAGCATCCCTAATCCAAGCCAATTACCCAGGCCTTTTCTTTCTAAGCCTCGAATGGGTTTGAGTATCTACCACCTCTTAAGACGCAAACTGTTGAGACAATCAGAAACGAAACGATTGATAGCTTGTTCTACGCTGCCGCTGAAGCTACGGAAGAGAGCATACTTAATGCACTCTGCCAAGCGGAAAGTTTAACCGGTCTTAAGGGGAGAACAGTCAAGGCTCTCTCCCTACTGAAAGAGTCCAGGCGAAATTAGATAAGCACCTAGTGCGACTATAGTGTAGTTTCATGAAGGCACAACTAGAGATCTAGATTGTCGCTTCTATGAACACAAATACATCGACTGAATCGTCGCAAGTCAACCGTCACCTTCACCTTTACCATACTTTTTACTCTAAAGTTTTATGTAACACGCTAGTTGATGCGGAAGGTGGTATCACGGACACGAATATATTCTTGCAGATCTTTGAGAGTGGTAGAAGTGGTGAAGGGATGAGGGGGTTGGTAGATGATCACAGAGATAGTTTCAAGAGAGCATGAACAGCGATCATTCGCGAGTATCACGAAGGTGATAGACTACCTACCATAAGTCCAGTCCTAGAGGTTAGAATCAATGTGATAAATGAGTCGGAACTATAGGATAGGTAAAGAGAGATAGAAACGTCCACAGCTCCAACCGTCGATGTCGTCACCGAGTCCTGCAGGGTGAGCTGGGTGAGGTGAAGCACGTTGTTGTGTTATTTTCGCATTAGCTCTAGAGTTTGGCCGTCCTAGCTTACTAACGAGCTACGTAATCTGAGCTTTGGAAGTGGAGTTAATTGAGGTCCAGGTTTACTGTTTTAGCTGCGTGCGGTAAGGACCGCGTAATGTTATCGCTGAAACGAGGGGCAACTTTCTGCGGGGTGACGGTAAGCGACCCTAGCGTCGCCAAACCACTGACTGGGCTTCCACTCCTATTGGCGTATTCTCGAACAGGGGTCGCAAAAACCTGCCATGGCTGTCGACCATATATAATCAGCCAGCCATTGCTTAGCGGGTTCACGCGATTGACCAAGCTGGTGGCACTGGGAGGCATATTAAAACATTCTCAAAAACTTGTAATTATATGCGATGAATAATTATCCATTTGTAAAAAATATTTCTTAGGACATTGTTGCCTTCCAGAGTAGATCAGATCATTTTAGTACTTAAGATGGGCGCATCAGTCCAGTAAAGTAAACTCCAACTTCTCTTTAGGACAAAGTCATATCCTATATCATTCAGTACAGAACCAAATGGTGTCGTCTCGTTCACAGGCAACAGCAAGCCCAAGCATGGCCCTGAAGAACGACAACGCGAACCTCACGTCATCTCCAGCCAGTTCCGACCTCGAAAATAATACTGTCGAACCCAAGCCCGACGCATCCACCGGCCGAACAATCGGCAGCATCCGGTGGGCTCTCGTGTGCCTCTCGCTCTATATCTCTATCTTCATCTACGGCCTCGACACCACCATTGCTGCCGATGTCCAGGGCTCCGTCGTCGAAGCATTTGGCCACGTTGAGCAGCTTTCCTGGATAGGCTCCGGCTTCCCTCTTGGCTCGGTGTCTGTCATTCTCCTCTATGGCACCCTGTACACGGCATTCAACATGAAATGGATATATGTCGCGTCCATGGTCATATTCGAGATCGGATCAGCGCTCTGCGGCGCAGCACCCAATATGGATGCTCTTATCGTCGGTCGCGTCATTGCTGGTTGTGGCGGTAGCGGCGTCTTCATGGGCTGCCTGAACTACTTCTCCAGCCTGACCACGCCCGAAGAACGAGGTCTCTACATCGCCGGAACCGGCTTCTGCTGGGGCATAGGAGCTGTCCTAGGCCCTGTAATTGGTGGCTCCTTTGTCGAGTCCAGCGCTTCGTGGCGCTGGGCATTTTACATAAACCTCGTTATAGGCGCTGCTTTCGCCCCTGTGTATATTTTAGGAATGCCGTCTGTTCGCCCTGTAACTGATCTCTCGGTGATGGATCGTGTTAAGAGACTTGACTTTTTGGGATTCCTTCTCGCTGCTGGGGTCTGGAATTCCTTCACAATAGCTTTCACCATGGCCGGAGGCCAATGGCACTGGAGCAACGGTCGCACTATTGGTACCATCGTGGCTTTCGTTGCAGTCCTGGCCATGTATGCTATCCAGCAAACCTTCTCCATCCTCACCACCCCAGAGAACCGATCCTTTCCGATCCATCTTCTCAGGTCCAGAACCCAGATACTACTCTACATCGGCACGGCAGCTAACGTAACAGCCATGTTTGTGGTCGTCTACTTCATCCCGATCTACTTTCAATTCGTACATGGCGACTCGGCTTTACAGGCTGCCGTCCGACTACTACCATTTGTCGTGGTCACCGTATCCTTCAACCTCAGCGCTGGCCATCTACTATCGAAGATCCGATACTATATGCCCATATATGTTGTTTCAGGAACCTTGATGACCCTAGGTAGTTCTCTGCTGACCGCTTACCTCGACCCGAAGACTCCTGCTGGCCTAATCTATGCCTTCACTGTCATCACCGCTGTGGGTGCTGGCCTAACCCTGCAGCTTGGCTACCCTGTGGCCACTCTTAAAGCACCGAAACACATGGGTGATGCACTGGCATTACAAAATATCGCACAGATAGGCGGCATCGTCATCTCTTTAGTGATAGCTGGCCAAGTCTTTCAATCCACTGTTACTTCAAACCTGGCGAAGGTGCTAGAACACACAGGCTTCACAGATGCGGATATCCAGAGCGCCGTTGCGGGAGCTCAGAGCAAGATCTTCCAAGAAATCAGTAGGGAACTGAGAGAACAAGCTATTTTAGCCATTACGCAAGCCATGCAGAGGTCGTTCATTTTGGTTTGTATTGGCGGTGGTGTTCTGACCATCTCTGGCCTTCTTATGAAGCGCGAGAGGCTCTTTGGAGATGTTGTTCCGGTCGGTGCTTGAGAAGGCGAAGGTAATATCATGCTATATATTGCATTTGCGCATGGTTTTTGGTACTGGCGTAGAGTTTGTACATGGCTTCCTCCTCATTTTATGTCACGGGCGTACGAGGCATTTTCGATAGATATGACATTTTCTAATTCGTTTAATAATTGTATAGGTTTAGAGTAATAGACATTATCCATTTTTCTCCTAATATGATCATAAATGCTTTTGCAGTAATTATGTGAAGCAAGGTGGGACATGATTCCTGTTAACAACACGGCCATACAACACCAACTGATCTATCTCATCCCTACAAAGATCTTGCTGTGCCCACGCGTCACGAACCATGCGATCGGCAAGAGACATTGTACCGTGCGGTTGCCTCCGCAGAGATTCTCTAAAGACCGTCAAAATAACCGATCGCTGCTCATCTGTACGTGCTTCGAGTCCAATAATGAACATTGGCCATGGGCGTTCACAGAACGCACATTGTCCCAGGACATCAAATGCACTGGCTACTGCCAGGTTGTAAGCCTTGTGACCCATAGACTCGCCTTTAGCCAGTCGCAAAAGATATATCAGTGTCGCTAAGCGGAATACTTCAGCGACTCTAACTTGGTGAGCTGCCTTGCCTGAATCAATTTCGGATATGCCAGAGTGCCGCTGCTCTAAATTCTGTAACCGGATCTCTAAGGACTTAATAATTGCCATGTGCGACTCGGATTGATACCCGGCATCATTGTGATCCAACACGGCATCGATTACCTGGCAGATGAGATCCAACAATTCTAGTGAGCAGCCCAGGATTGGTACGACCTAGGTCTTCGTTAGCTAGAAGTCCGGATTTGGACAACATACCATACAGTGAGTCGCTCAGGCGCAAACACAGCCTTTGAGATGAGTTTCCTTTGTCCTGCTAGCTCGATCTGGTCGGCATTCTTATTATCCCAATGCCGGATGCTGAACTTGTACATGACGTCGTGGTAGAAGATCCAATCCATGAGTAATGCTTTCTCGCCAAAGTAGGTGTCGTCTTTTTCGGTCACAAGATTGGCAATTCGTTTTGTACCACAGAAGAATATGGTCCAACTAAGGTCTGAACTGTTGAAATCGAGAGTCTGCGCCACAGTTAGCAAGTTGTGACCGATACCGGCAGAGTTTGGTATACTTGACCTCGAAAATGCACAATAGCATGCTGGCAGCCATCATCTGCATGGCCTGTGAAAGCTCAGGAGCTTCGATGGAGGCTTGCAGCGCTCGGAGGGCGTTGGTCTTGCTCACAGCGGCTGCCATCTCCATCCCCAGATAATAATATGATAATGCGCTAATAGCGCATCTTGACGCTATGGAGGAAAAACTGTCATCTTTGAGTGACAGCCTTATGAGAAGGCTACAGAGGTCGTTAGGATCGTGGCTGGAGGGGGCCAAGCGGGGAGTGGAACTGTAGCCTGTCGTCTGCGTTAGCTGTCCTGCAATGCGTCTAGACGCATAGTAATTATTGTATGGCTTACCATAAGCAGCGAGGAAGGTGTCCAATCTCGCGATGTTTGGGGGCTGCTGTGAGAACCAGATACGATTCAACGTTGCTGGGTCGTAAGGGGCCAAACCTGATACGGATATGCATTAGGCCAGTATCGTCATCTTGAATCCTTCAACACGCATACCTTTGCTCTCGAACGCTTCCATGTCCTGGACAGAGGTGTTAATAAAGTGCCGGGGTCGTGACTTTATGGGAATCGTGTAGATCCCTTTAGGATGAGCGAAGCGCCTGCTATCGCCTTGCCGCGGCCATGATAGCCTGGTCCCATAACCTGAACACTTGCGCCCTTTATCTCTGCAGTTATGGCAGAATGGTACGGTCTTGTCGCATGCAATCTTCAAGGCTGTCAAGTTGAGGTGTTAGTGGAGTGGCGACAAGAACATTTCCTTTGAGATCTTACCACGGCAGTTCCAACACCTCTTCAAATCAGGGCTAGCGGGGAATGCAGCTTGGCCCGATACGTTTTTCCGCATCGTTCCTTCTATTAGCCAGGTATACCGTTGTCGTGGCTGTGAATATACCCTTTTTCTAGAATTGTGATGCTGTTGATGTTGCTGATTATTAATACTCGTTGGATGTATGGGAGGGGCAGCTTATTGGCACCCTACAGTCTGGAGGTGGCGAACGCCCGCCCAACTAACTAGCTGGCTGATGGAAGGAATGGGAGTTTGGCTCCGCCGCTCCAACCAATCGTGCGACATGAATAAATATATACATCTCTGCCATATTCAACGCATCCAAAAGTGCAACGTTATACCCTGTACCCTTATTCCCGTATATTGCTATGCGGCCGCTTGTAAGAATAAATACTCCAATTTCCTATGGAGCCGGTGCCACCGATCAAACTCTCCATCTCTGTCAATGACGCTATGTATCCGCTATCACCTATCCATAAGAACGCTCCTCTTACACTCCCCAAGCACATCTACAACCTTCTTAATATTTTCTACACTTGCCGCACTTAGTCTTCTGATCTTCTCCCCTCCCCTGCCTCCTCATCCCCCCTCGCGTTATCGTATAGACAAGAGGGACAACAGGTGCTGAAAAGAAAATCACCATAACTCCGAGCGCCGCAACCAAGTTCAGGCTTTTGGATAGGTTGCCTCCTCGCGGAGCGCGCGAGAAGAACATCAAGCTGTAGACCAAGACGATGTAGTTCCTTCGCGGTCGGTGCAGTGCAGGTTTTTGTTACGGTTGGCCCTGAGAAACTCCAGCAGTTCTTATACACACTCGGATTGTCCTTTCGGATGGTGTTGATTAATGGGACCCAAATTAGTATACTTAATACAGGTAATTGATTGGTCAGAATGGGTCATGGAATGGGGTAATTGAATTGATTCCAAAGCCTAATACTATGGGGTGAAAGCCTCACATATATAGGCAAATGAATGTATGGGGTCAGGTGATCAATCAGGTGACTCAAGGAAATAATACCGATAGTATCCGAATAGCTTCCCAGGGCCTCCATCATCATGTGCTATACTAATTAGTATAGGATGCGATGATATCCGTGTATTCGGCTCATCGCGAGTATATATATCTCATTTCTCCTTTGTAGTAGAGAAGTGCTAAGTAGGGTACTTAAATAGCTTGACTAGCTAGTTAAGGGAACTCCTATAACTCCTATATTCTAACACTCCCTTTCAAAGATCGACTACTTAATTAGGACTTATTTAAAGTTTAATTAAACTTATCTTTAGAGTCGAGTTTGTTGGAGATATCTACTATATTGAGTTGTTGTACGAATTCGGTATATTTTTGGGCAAGTAAACTTTTAGTAAACTTATCTACTACTATTTTGGTAGTAAGTACTTACTCTACTTTAATTGACTTAGAAAGTATTTCTTGGTATAACTAGTACTAATAGATATTAATATATTTGAGTTTAGTCTCCAACTATAGAATATCTATAGTAAGAAAGTGTATTATCTATTGATTATTACAGTATAATGTCTGTGATTAGTCGTCTTAGAGATCGAATTAGATAGTTTTGAAGAATTTATTCTATTAAATAAACTCCTTGGCAGCTAATAAGATAGCTAGGAACTCTGTCTCAGTACTCGACGTAATAATAGTCTTTTATTTAGTAGCTTTATAGTAGATTACTCTACTAAAGAGTTTAAAGTAAAAGTTATTTGAACTATATCTAGTAGTTAGATTATCTCTATAAACTGCGTCGCTCTATGCTGAAAAGAACTTTTTAGATTGAGTCGCGTTATTATTGAATTCAATAACTAATCTTTTACTACTTTCCAAGTATTGTAATAAGTAGTCGGCAATAGTAAAGTATTTTAGTCCAAGATTGAGCTGAAATTCGGCTAATCTGGAGATAGCTTTGGCCACGTCAGTATATATAATAACGGAAGTGTAATTGATACTACTTACTTTTTACTAGTAGGCAAAGATCTGTTGGGAGATAATTTGGCTAGTATAAAAGTTTAATTCTCCAGTTAGTAATAGAGTAGATAGAACTTTAGTATTAATATTGATATTGAATTTGGAACTTATACTTTGAATATATAAATCCTGAATAAACTAGAGTTTCTTAGTAGAACGTTCTTTAAAGATTCTGATCTTAAGAAAATAATTAGCTTTTTTAAATAAACGCAAATAGTATTTAGCTATTAATTTAGTCTTAAATTAGTCTATTTTGACAGTATCTTTTGGGACAAAAATAATGATAATATTATCTACGTAAAAGAATAGAGTAAACTAGGAGTTTGAATATAAGTAATTAACTCTAGGAATAGAGTAAAGTTTTAACTAAATTAAAATAGATGTAAGTTCTTTATATTAGAGTAAAAGTAACTCTTTGAATTTGTATAAAACTTTGTAGAATAATAATAGTTTACTAAGAACTTCATACTTTTTAAAGTATTTGTATAATAGTAGAAGTTCCAACTTAGAGTTAATAAATATATTAATAGTATTATATTAGTAAGTTTCTAAGCTAAATCCAGCTACTAGAACTATTATAAATCTGAAAGTTTGAGTAGCTAAAGTTGCTGTGTAAGTTTTTTACTAATATTCTAACTTTTGTAAATCTCTTCTAGCACAGAGTTTAGCTTTATACTTAGTCAGAAATCTATCTATATTGAGCTTGTATTTGAATACCTAAGTAAGTAGGAGTAGTTCTTGTACTTGATAATTCTACTTCGGAACGAATTTAAATACTTCTATAGTCTTTAGTATATTAAATTCGGTGTCAGCTACTTTTCTGAATTCAGTAGTATTTGGGTAACGAATTATTTGATACTAGCTTTTAAGTTCTTTTTCAAGTTAAATGTAATATAGATGTATTTGAGTAGAAGTTAGCGAATAAGTAACTCCAAAAACTATATTATACTCTGATAAGTGATAAATATTAAAGAGTACTATAGTATATATATTCTTCTGTTTCCTACTCTTTAGTCTTTGTATAATATTTTCTTCGTCTAAGTAGGACGAAATCTCATTTCTGTAGATATTTGAGTTCTTTATATTATTTGGCACTGTATTTTAGTTTGTAGATAATAAATCTATTAATTGGGGTATAGTTCCTTTATTATAAGTAACTTCAATCGTAGAATCAGAGCTTAGATTTGTTAGTAGTAAAGTTAGAATTGAAATTAGATCTAGTATAACTTCTGGAGTTAAGTAATATACTACTTGATTATTCGTTTATTTGTTTTCTGCTGTTAGCTACTGAGTAATTATATTCTCAGCTTCCTAATTAGCTAGTTGATTTTCGGGAATACTAAAAGTAGTTATTTCTACTAGTAGAAATAGAACGTCAACAATAATAGTATCTGAATCTATATCTACTTCCCTTTTAGCGATTATATCGTCTAAGAGCTGAAGACTCTCAATAACTTCTTCTTTTTAATATAATACAAAGTTTAGATTAATATTATTTAGCTAGTAAAAACTTTTATAGTTAAATATCGCATTCTTAGTTTTTACTACTTTCTTTAGTAATAGGATTTAAATTCGGAATATATTAGTCGACGAATAACTTATAAAGTACTTAACGTAAGGTTTTGGACGTATCTTTTAGGACTTTAGTATACTTTTAATTAAAGTGTATATTTTATAGCTAAATAAATATAAATATTCTAATTTAAACTTATATTTTTTAACTGACTCAAAAAGTATTTTCTAGGAGAAAGTTAATATTAGACGTCTATTAGCTAAATAAACTACTATTTAGTATACTTCTAGTTATAAGTTGAATAGTATTTTTGCAAATATAATTATCACTCTAGCGATTTAGGTGAGGATCTTACTAATGTACTCAGAGCTTCTATTTTGTTCAAGAGAGTCAAGAGTTGTTCTTTTTTACTTAATACTTTTTGAATTAACGAATATAGCGAATTCGGTACTTAAAGTAGTTTCTTTATCAAAACGAATAAATCGAACGTTGTATCCGAATTAAACTTTGATCTATATTATAATTTGTATTATAAAAGTAAAAGAGTCGGATTTCGAGTAATAAATAAATATATAGTAATATCGGTAATCTAGACAGCAAAAATAACTTACTCACTTGTGTTTATTATAACTTATATCTTCTTAGATTAAGTCCCAAGCTATATAGTCGAAAAGTTTCCTATTTGAGCGATCGTCGACTTCGGTTCTCCTAGAGATTACTCTGTAGACTTTGGAAACGCTATAATCTTTATAATCTATCGTTTTGGGTATCGGACTTTCTAGATCAAGAACTATCAAATTCTCTACTAAATTAAGTATATAGTCGATAACTTATAGTTTTAAGTAGTTAAATTATAACAATTCTAATATTTCCTCCGGCAAAGAGTCGTATTAGAAGTGTTCTGTTTCGTTTACATAACGAAGTAATATAGTAATCTCTTTTAATAATCTGTAAATAATATCAAAGTGAGTAAATTATAGAAAGAATCAAGTGTAATCAAAGTAAACTGTTATAATTGATATTCAAGAATCAAGTTGAATACGAAGTTCTTATTTTAGTAAAGAAATTATACTACTTATATAGAACTTTCTTACTCTTAGATTATAGTAAATCAATAATCTTTATAATTCATTATATAAATAGATTATTAATTTTTTCGATTTATTACTATCATATAACTTCGTTATATATTTCTATAGTTCTCTATAGTAGTAAGTTATATTACTTGAGTTTCAGACTATAAAGTTAACATTCGTAATACTATCTTCTATATAACTTAGTGTAGTCTTTTAGTTTAAAAGTTATATCGAAAATATCGAACATTAAATATAATTTTCTTTTTTCTTTATTATACTACTCTAATATACTTTGAAATATAAAAAGAGAATTATTCTTTATAATAAAATAAATTCCGACAATATCGAAATATTACTTTATACGAATTATAAGAAGTATAAACAATCTTATATTATTTTAAACAAAACGTCAAAAAAGTGTAATGAATACGTTCGTCGTAGTATGAAATATAACGTGAAAAGGATTTCGTTCTCCAACTTAGAATCT